GTCGGTGGAGGAGGGAGTTCCCACCAGAGAATGGGAGTGGGGAGCGGTTTTTTTTTCCAAAATTTGAAACAGCGACGGGAAGTGCCCTGCTCACCAGGAAGCCCCTCGCCGGATTTGGGCAAACACGATTGTTTCTTCGCACCTCCCGACATTAAGTGCAGTCAGACACAAAAAATTCGGATGAAAAGGTGTGGGAGCGAAGTTTGCAGCAATAGTTCTGATAGAGCTCGTGAAAGTTGGCGGTTACTGTGATTAGCACTTTCCATTTCACCACAAATCCTCCAACTTGCTTAAATTGCAGCCGGATTTGTTCTGAAGGTTCCCCTAGATACGGCATACTACTGAGAAGGCTGCTGATTAATGGACAAATGAAGGGTTCCTGTCTTATTCATTTCAGTTAAGGATAAAAGTTCATCAGGGCAAGTCATACGTTGGGATCGCCAGCAAGGGGTCATATCGTGCAAAACTGTCCCGAACCGCAGATCGTGCCCTGGAGGTGATATGTCTAAAATGTGGTTATTCTCATTACTTCGGAGTACTGTATCTTTCTCAGTAATGCGGGTTTTCTTTTGAATTGAATATGTGCTCTCAATGGCGCATTAATATGCAGAATATTAAGAGAGGAAAAACCAAAAGGCAATATAAGCTGGAGCTTCATCTGTTGGCCCAATTAATTACAGAAAATAATGTTTGGTTTCCCACTTATCCTGTATCGTTTGCAACGACTGAAGGATGAAGTCTTCATCGTTGATTAATTGCCTTTTGGGATGCGGCACGAAGTCTGCTTCCACTTAGAATCGTAGCGGCTTACCACATAGAATCGTAGCGGCTTATAGAATGTGATGTGGTCCATGGAGTGACTTGCGGGCGCCAACTGATGTACAAGTCAGTGTTCTTGTCCTAGACGAATACGGTACCAATTCACTTTTTGGAGGTGGAGGGTTTCATTGGCCTGGACGGAGCCCGGGTTCGACCGAGACCGCGTCCGTAAGCGTACCATTTCTCGCTAAATAACGCTCAGTAGACTCTGAGACCCTTTGGGGCTCTAGAAGCACACTGAGGAGTGCCTCAAACCAAGACTTGGGCGAAGGTGGTGTGGTGGCAAGTGACGTGACTTACTACGCGCACAGCCAGGGGCTATATCCCGGATCGGCACCCGTCCAAGATAAGCAAACTTTCCACCCTACAGGTATAAGATCGGGTCGCATTTGAAATGACAACTCTCGTCTTGTGAATAAAGGAACAACGCGTGGCGTACTCCAAAAAGGGACCTTTGAATGCTGAAACTTTCACCCTTCACTTTTTAATTCAACAGTAACTAGATACGTACTTGTATGCTGCATTCCTATCATTTCAGATGTCGCAGGAACATCGGCGACGACATTCTCGCGACCTGTCGAAGCAGACGAAATACGTCGAATTGGCGCTCATTGGGGACTATGAATATGTTGGTTTCATTCTCTTACCGTAGTTCTTTCCACCGATTTTGAGCGCTGTTCGGCTTGGAGGGGGCACTTCGAGCTTGCACTTTCCCTAGTTCCTATTGTTAATTCATGTTAACTAACAGTGTCGCTCTAGTCAAACCTGTATACTTGTAAAGCTGCGACATTGTTTGTGTGAGCTGTTTTGGGTCAGAGGAATTTACAGGTCATCACAAAATGGCTTGCATAAGCTTAGCCGAGTACCATTCGGTGCCCCTACCAAGCCGAACTGCTCCCAGTTTTGTTCTATATTTGGATTTATTCAAACTCCAGCCAAAATTCCGTATAGTGGATCGTTTTTTTCCCGAAGTGCGTACTCAAAGTACGAAGTAATTTTCTAGGTGAAGCAGCATGGCTATTCTGACGAGGACTCTTTAACCTACATGCTTGAAGCTGTCAACATCGCCGATTTAGTAAGTAGTAGTCTATTCATTGAAAGAAGAGTGGAGGCACTTGTCTCGCATATTGCTGAGAAGCGTGTGAAGCAGCTCACGCCGTTGTAAAGCAGCCCCATTGGGCGCAATTCCCTGGCATCAGCCGTTAAAACGTGAGCGCCAAAGGAGCCGACAATTCCATTAGCGGCGGCCACTCGTCCATTCAACGAGAGCTTCACACTTGAACACCGGGACGAGTCCATCGTTGAGGGTGCATTGGTATAGTCCTTGAGTGCGTGGGAATGTGGGAAATGGACGCAGCCTTAGGAAATCGGCAGGATTCATACGGTTCAGGGGAGTGGAGGGGGGGGGGGGGAGAAAGAGGAGTAAAATATCAACTTTTAGTCATGTAAGGAGGTAAAAGGAGCCAGTTAAGAAGTGTCGAGCCTAACATTCATTGCTTCAGATGTTCTCGAGAGATATGAATGTTCGACTATCGGTGGTGTACGCAGAGATTTGGCTCGATGTTCAACGAGTAGACCTCTTCGAAGACATTGAAAGGACCATGAGTGGAGTAGTCGACTATTCAACAGGACACATCTACAATATTGGTGAGCACTTTCCTCAGTACACGCTGATCGTTGTGGGCGGGGAGAGATCAGGACACTGCGCCTTCCTCCATGGCGTCAACCTCCATATCCAAGTCTTCTGGTATCAGGTGCGGTCCCGTGAAAGCTCAAGGTAAAGCAAAAGAGGTCGAGCGGTCAATGGATGGAGTCTTAATGACAGGTCTGACTCCGCCCAGAATTGAAACATGAACTAGGACCTTGACTGATCATTTTTGGTACATTTTTTGTTTTTTTTTTAGCGAAGGATGCGAGTATTTTATTCACTGGTGGTTCGTTTGCGAACAAAGAGGCAGTTAACGCAGTTTTTCGCAGTATTTGCACAGCAAGATCCACGACGATAGTTAAGGTAAGGCAGGTGATATGTTAAAAACCTCAAATTCTTTTAGAGATAGTTGATGAGAAAAGCTAAAAATGTTCCGACAAAAATAACCAGACTTATTAATCGCTAAGTCAGGTATCGCCCAAAATTCCAACCTAACCTTACCACTTAATTCAAAATTTACAACTGCACGAGCCATGCCCGATGAACCATGAACTTCTTTTTCCATCCTCGCCGCCTGGACTGGTCTGGTACTCCGAGGATGTGGTGCAGGCGCGTGGCGTTTCTATTTCAAGCGGTCGTTATAGTCATGTTAAAGGGCCAGGATCCTTCTGGGACAAGTTTTTGTCTAAATCTATAGCTAAAGAAATTCCAGGAGTGGAAAAGAAAAGAGTAATAAGCGCCTTTTTCCTTTAAGTATTTCTACGAAATTACTGCATTAATGCAAAGTTATGATGAGTATTCGCTTCTGATTCATCGTAGCAATGCGAGCAAAAAACCCGTCACGTAATGCAGCTGCAGCCATGTTTCTTCTTCTCTGGACGGACAGTAGCGTCAAGCAACATGTGTGATCGAAAAAGCTGATTCTAGCCGGCTTTCGCTGTATGGTTCAGGGAAACAGCGGGAGGAGAGGAGTAAGGGCGTTTTGGTATAAGGATGGGGTCAGCGATGGGACATCTGTTCAAAATGAACTCGACTTCGAGGTGCTTATGAGAGGGTGTCCTACGGTATAACTCCCCTCGTAGGAAAATTACGCTCTTACCAAAGTTTTAGCATCAAGGGAGAGGGAGCTATAGCAGCGTGAAGTAGGGGAAATGAACGATCTGAAAAATTACAGGGGCAAATATTCCTTCCGGATTGCTGCCCTTCCCCTTCCCTTGCCCCGCAAGCCCCAATACCCCCCCATGGATCTCGCACAGCAATGCTGTATCCTGCTGCCAAAAAAGGGCAGTTCGGCTTGGTGGTGGTATGGAATGGACTCTGCTAAACTTGTACAGGCTACCCTGTGATGACCTGCAAAATCCTGTTACCAACGTGACTCACTTCCACAATTCCGCAGAAGTTTGCAGTTGACCGAACCAAGGCACGCCATCGCGGTGTGGTAAATTCCTGCGAAATACGACCCCCCCCCACTAATTCTTCTCTTATGACCCCCTCCCTACCTACCCTACTTTTCACACCTAAAAGTTTCTAGTTTCTCCCCAAATTTTGCTTTGGAGTTTCAGGAACTAACTACTATTTTCAACTATCGGAGATAGTAGATGTATGGCATTGCGGGGGTGTATAACACAAGTGAGACGGAAAAAAATCGCAAAAAGTCAACAACCGGAACCGGACAAAACCGAAACTACTGTATGTGAAAAATGCCTCTCCCTTAAGGCCAAAGAGCGGTACAAAAAGTTATGTTTTCAGCGAATGTCATCAAGTGAAATTCCGGGGATGGCTCTTTTTAATAATTATGAGATTGTCGAGACTTGTTATTCATGCTCTTGTCTCCGATTTCAATTTGCATATGTGACAGTGCGCGCTGGAGAGAGAGTGAGCGGCAGAAAGGGTTAGTTGAGTAAATGCATGCAATGAATTTGCATGCTTCAGTAGACAAGTCCCCCCGAACAGCGCTTGATCCGCGAACATGACACCAAAATTGTTCTGTTGTGACACACCCAAGGGTTACATAGTACGAAATTTTGCAGGCGGTTAGTTCTTTAGGTAATAGTGGTAATATCCAGAGACATGCGCAGAGAAGGGAGGGAGAGGGGAGACTGGCTGGGTTAGGCTCAGCTGGTTGCGGAACATCACTGTGAACGAACTATAAGGTTTGGCGAGCGCGAAAGGGGGAAAGAGAGTGGTGGTTCGATAGTGGTGTCTTATAATTATATATAGGGATATTTTTGATTTTGGGAACAGCGTGCCCCGTCGTGGATTGACAAATCCGCAGTTAGAGAGTGCCACCAGGGCACCTCGAGCTGGTGGGGAAAATTTTTACAAAATACTACCCTCCTCCTCATCCCCGGAATTTCCTCGTCTGGTACGATACCCTCTCCCCATCCTACTCCCTCCCTTTCCCTTACTACCTACCACCTCCCGGCATTCTCACCACTTTCCAACTTTCTAGGACCATGCCGGGAAAAGTTTCCGCCCCCTTCCCAGAACTGTTGTCGAGGGGAGGGGGGGGGGCATTGTTAGGGGAATTCCTTACTATTGCTTTTATGAAGCCTTTCAGACTAGAGGATCTGTCCCAAACTAGTCAAGAAATCGCCGGTTCTTCTTCGATAGAACAGCGTCTTCTACACCAATCCCCCCCCCCCCGGAATCGGATGAAATCTGCTGTTCGATCCAGTTCATGAAGGCAATTTCCTGACTCATTAGACGACTCATTTAATGCCGTTTGACAACGTGGAATTTGAAGCGTCATGCGTAATGCCGCATGGATTTGTGGTGGTGTTCGGGAGGGGCCCCGAGCCATATGTTATTGCTATTAATTCTGGTCCCACAGGAATTTGTCGGAGGCATTAAATCGACAGCGCTTCGTTTGGATTTGTGAACGCATAGAATGACAGCTTGATTTGTTCGTTCAATTAAAGGATGAGCAGATTCCTCGACAATTTGGGTGTGAGGGAAGAATGGAAGAGTTCTTTCGAGTTCGGAGAGGGGGGGGGGCTTGTATGGTACACGAAGTACTTCTATATAGGTGCTCAGGGAAGAAAGGAGAAGGAAAAGTATGAAAAGTGAATTCAAGTTCCTGTCACGCCTTTATTTTGCTTGGACAAGATCGCATCGCGAAGATGGGTTACTAACCTTCTCTCACAGATGGCTGAAATGACTCTGCCCTGGAGAAATACCTGCTAAGAGATAGATGACGTGTCACTGACGTCACACAACACGTTAATGACGTGCCTAAATCGTCTGTGACGATGACAGTGGGGTTTTTTGGCATTTATGAGCTATGCGACAGGTCATCGCTCAAAAGGGCACGTGGCCACTGGAGGAAATTTTTGCAAAATACCCACCCCCTCAGAATCTCCTCCACTGTCACGACTCCCTCCCTGCTACCTACCATCTTCCCAAGTTTTCCCAGTCCCTACCACTTTTCCAAATTTTCCGGTTCCCACGGCTCACCGCTATAAACTTCGGTCGAGTGGGGGGGGGGTCCACATAATGCACTTGAAACAGTAATGTGCGATAGAAGTCAGTAGCCGAAAGCATTTTTCTAAAGGCGAATACCACCTCCGCCCTCCTCCTCTTTAGCGCTCAAGCACGACTCCTTCCCTCGCTGGGGGTCCCCAACGTACGAGGTGCACTGTCTTTCAAGTCCTAACAGGTGGCGGACCTGCGCTACATCAGCGCCGTCTTCGGGTAATTTTTATTAACACATTTCGCAGTATCCGAGGGGAGGAGACAGGAAATAACTGCGTCTTCTCTCATTGGCCACGCCCCCATGATCAAAGCGGACTGGGCTTTTCAATACGAGGTAGACTGAAAATCACTTAAAGTATAGAGTGTAGGAGCTTCTACTTTCACAAACAGACCAAAATCCCGATCGAAAAGTAACATCTCGATTTTTACAGGCTATAGACGCATTCGCAGCGCAGTGGTCAGGTCAGATGTTGGCTGAATCGCTGGGACATCTGTTCGGCCTTGAACATGACACCCTATCTTGTCAATGTGAGCAGCGATGCATCATGACCGATAAACCAGGGTTAGATCGCTAAATTTTGTAGCTTAAAAATTGTGTCATTTTTTAAAGAGTAGAGTTTTTATAGGATGCCCGGGGCCGCGTTCTCTTGGCAGTTCTCCAAATGTTCAATTGCTCGAATGCATGGCGTTTGGCAATCTGGACATGTGCAATGCTTGTTGAATAAGCCGTTCCAAGTGAGTTCAGTTTCTTCCGCAGCAATTAAAGAAACGTGTTTGATCAGTTGTTTTGGGATGCGCCATGCATTTCAGCTCAGCAATCTTGCATCATATTACCTTCTGGTCGACTTTGGGATATGCAAAACAGAAAAAAAAAAGAATTAGTGTCATTAGTCGCTGCCAGGGCACGTACTGTTGCGGGGAAATTTTTGCAAAATGTGACTCCTCCAAGTTTCTGTCTCGGTACGACCTGACTTCATGCCAGGTGTCATCCTCCTAAAGTTTTCCAAGTTCCACACTTTTCTGGATGTTTATCCCTAAAATTCCTCCACTCCTGACAAATACTAAAGTCAACTATCGAAAATAGTTTTTGTATAGGACTTTCGCTGCCCCAGCCAATTAGCCTCCTCCTCCGCCTTCACTAACGGCAGTCTCTAACGATGGTTAACGCGCGTGAAAAAACAAGTAACAAAAGAAATTTTTTCCTCGGACCAACTACGACCCAGCGCCAGACGTGCCTTGGTCATGGCTCAGCGACTGCAGATGGAATTCATAGTGTACCGGTCAGGAGATTCGCTCTCTGAAACTGCAAACTGCCATGCTGACTGAACTACCTAGGAAATATTGAATTTTGTGCGCTTTCTTACCCGCATCCTAATTTCTACTTCGCATACTGAGAGATCGTCCTCAAGCGCTTTTTTCTTTGCTTCCCTTGGATCTCAATTAAATTCGTCGGCGCTTCGTTCGGCTCGGAGGGGGCATACTGCACTTTCGATAGCTCCTTTTTTAGTTGATGTTGACTGACAGCTCTTCCTTTGGCTGGACCTGAAAACATCTGGGAAGCTGCGAAATTGGTCGAGTGAGCCACTTTTGTCACCGTAACTTACAGTTCTTCACAAGGTCTATACAATCTTAGCTGAGTACCATCTGATGCCCCCACGAAGCCGATCTGCCCCAAATTTTCTCTCACATTAACAAAACGAAACCCCAATTCCGTCCACACGTCAACTGTATCGTTTAGCCTTCGCAACTTCGTGAATGTGGTAATGGCATTGTGGACGGATCCGAGGAATGCGACTGCGGAAGTCGTGAGACGTGCACTGACCCCTGTTGCGATCCGTTGACGTGTACTCTCCGAGCTCATGCTCAATGTGCGGCTCATCACCAGTGTTGTCATCGGTGCGAGGTGAGCTTATGAAAGTTTCCATGTTGAAGGCAGATTCCACGATTACCAGAAGTGGGCGGAGACTATTAACTATGGTGCCTTCCTCATTGGCTCTCCTATCCTTTTTATTGTAATAGAAGCAGGGTTGTACCAGTGGGAAAGGCGGAATAGTGCTGAGTCTCCGCCCATCTCTCTGTTTATCGTGGAATGTACCTTGAACTTTTTGCGATATTACAACACCGACTTATTAGACAGCAAACTGGTCTCAGAAGTAGCGCTCGATTTTGCAATTTTGAGTTACGAAAGCATTGGAAGTAGTTTGACCCACCTTTCCAGTTGAATTACGAGTTTGAAAGCGTCTTTTCCAGTTACGAAAGTCAGGAGAGGTATGCAGGAAGTGCTCGTTCGCCGTGTGACGTGGCTGAGACTTGTGACGGAAAGTCTGGCGACTGTCCTCCGGATGGTCATCTCATGGACGGAACGGCGTGTGGACGGGCTGGCCAGTGCTGGCGTGGTAACTGCAGTGATCCGCATCAGCAATGTCAAGAGATCTGGGGTGAAGGTGTGGATTCTCACATTTTATTAATGTTTATGACGCATTTTGGTGGTTCTTTTACACCACTGCCAAAGCCTTCTGTGGAAACCTGTGAATTTCTATTTAGCATTGCAGCAGCATGAGCTTCGTTTACAGGTCTCACCATGGTGAGGCGTGTAATTTGGCAGGCACTAGCAAAAAAAACTAGCGGAACTGAAAATGCCCTTCCCAAGCCGAACAGTGTCGTTTTTTACTAGAAAATAGGCTAAAACCTTTATTTCATCCTTAAATCCTGCCTAGTTCCTGTACAATGTCAAAAATTTAAAGTTTTGATCTCTTTTCAAGAGACCTTAAATAAGGTTTCTGAATAGCCAACTGTTTTTTTTCAGGTGCTAGAGTTGCTGAACAGGAATGCTTTAAACAGAACACTCGTGGACACGAGTACGCTAACTGTGGTACTATTGACGGCACAGGTACCTACCGGTCCTGTCAACAAGAACATATCCGGTGCGGTACTCTACAGTGCCAGGATGGAGCCACAACACCATCTCAGTCTGCTCTGAGGGCATTCACCTTCCAGTTTCAGCAGGATGACAAACAAGTAAGTTAATCCTTCTCATACGCCTTCCTTTTAAAACTCGTGCATAACAGAAAGCGCCACTTTGATGAGTTTTTAGGGCTCAGTTTGTAGCGGTGCTAAGTTCCAGTCCTTTGGGATATTTGCTCCATTCACATTTGTAGGGGAGGCGGGCGATTCTATTAGGTCTTAGGCTAATAAGTAATGGCCGTTTTTTCAATTGAAAAATTTGTTCGAAAAGTGAAACGTTTTGCAAGCAAGTTATATATCATCTGATAGGAAACTTCTCGTAGTATAAGAATATCAAAAAAGCTTTGGTTGAGGATATAGTTTTTGTGAATTTTTTAGTCGTTGAAGTTGGAAGTGAAGTCGGCGAAAATTAGCATCTTCGACAACTGCCTCTATTTAAAAATTTCATGCTTGATATTCAATATTAATTTGAATTGTTGATATTCTAATACTATGGGGAAGTTTGCTATTAAAACGATGTTAAGCTTGCTTGCAAAACTTTTCACTGAAACAAATTTTTCAATTGAAAAAACGGCCATTACTTATTAGCCAGCCCACTAGCAGTTATTAGCCAGCCCACTAGCAGTGGGCTGGCTAATAAGTAATGGCCGTTTTTTTCAATCGAAAAATTTGTTCCAAATTAGAAAAGTTTTTGCAAGCAAGCTTAATATCGCTTAATAGCAAACTTCTCGTAGTATTAAAATATTAAATTCAAATTCAATTAATTCAACTATTAGCATGAAATTCAGGTGGGGGATACAGACTGACCTGCCAATATTGCAAGTGAATTTCCCAACTTCTGAAATTCTTGAAATTAGTTCCAAAGCGTCCTATTGAGATTCCCTTGCTGAGACTTCTACCTCAACCTTTTCCGAATGTATGGAGCAGCTTAAGCGATTTTAGCACTTCGAGTAGACGTAAATAGAGCAGTTGTCGAAGATGCTAATTTTCGCCGACTTCACTTCCAACTTCAACGACTAAAAAAAATCCACAAAAACTATATCCTCAAGCAAAGCTTTTTTGATATTCTTATACTACGAGAAGTTTCCTATCAGATGATATATAACTTGCTTGCAAAACGTTTCACTTTTCGAACAAATTTTTCAATTGAAAAAAACGGCCATTACTTATTAGCCAACCTAATACTTGAGCAGGCGGGTGATGTCCCGCGGCGCAATGTGCAGTGTTGGATCAAGTGTTACATTACATGTATTCACGCATTGCCCAATAGAAAAAAAAAATCTGCTACTGTAAGGCTTCTTAACCAACATCGTGTTGCCAGACCACCCGTCCGTGAACTCACTAACAATTTCAGCGAGCATGGGACAGCACAACTCGTACGCGGCGAGTACGCCGTCGCCAGTCACGCCCACCAGCCCGTGGACATGGCAGTGCGCCACGATTGAATCCCCACATACCCTGTTAGTATAAATTAACTGGATGTGTCCGAGATGGGTGTAGTTAAGGACACCCGAGGCGGGGTATTGCGCTCAAGCCAGCATTCCTATCTAGTTGACTCAATAAATCACTTCAACATCAGTTCAAATGTGTCACTTCAGCTTGCATCAGGGCAGGACCGTCAAGCCAAATAAGATTGGACGCAAGCTGTTATGGAACTCTTGATTTCACGTAAAAGTGCTATGTTGGGTCAACTAGCTAGGGATACTATCCGCCTCGCGTGAGACGACGTGCCTTAAATGCTCTGAACTACACACCCGACCAAGTTACATAGTTCCTCTTGTTGTTTGCTCGGTTCGAGGGTTAATCGCATGTACGTTTCTGATCCTCTTATGCGGCACACCCTCACCCCGTCCCCTACATGATCCCTCGCCAATAGGATCAGTGCGGCGGTGTAGTTTTGTCTATGTTAATTCAAACTCATCCCCTCGTAACATCACTCGCTTATGAAAATGCAAGAAGTGCGCGAGGTTGGGGGAGTTGTAAGCTCGGGCTCCTGTTTTAGTTGATGACGAAAGGAAAGAAAAAAGGAAAGAGAAATGAAAGGAAGGTACAAAGGCTGTGCCTCGTTGCCACATCTACATACAACTTCTACCCCCGCCGTTAAACAGGATAAGGAAAAGAGAAGAGTCAGGTGTCGGCAAGACTTTCCACATGTTCATTTACCGCGACCCGGCGTATAGCAAAATAAGAAAAAAAACACAAACATAAAGGACTGATGTAGCTTCCTGGAGTGCTCCAGGAATGAGAAGCTGAGCTGACGATTCTTCCATGGCAGGGTGGGTAGAAGTTGTATTCTGTTGATTTGGCGAGAAGGTCCTTTTCCTCCCCAATTCATGGAAGTTTGGGACCTACTGGTTGGCAAGGAGGTTTGTATTTTGATGCGCAGCCTCTCATCGCCATGGGTGTGCCTGTCAATCAACCCTCAGTGTAGTAAACGGATCCAGTGAGAATAGCTAACGACCATGTCGGTCCTCAAGCAAGCGTCTCTAACAATTTTCCGAATAGCTGCGCAAAAATGTAGGCTTTGTTACCTCCACTAAGTGGTTAACAGTTAAACTTCTGCCAAAATGTCTGCAGTTTGCGACTGGCTATTAGTGCTACTGTTACACGTTTGAAACCAGTCAATCAACGGTATTCTGCAGTGATCATATGGGCGAAGGCAGAGAACCACCTCGTTGGCGCGACCCTTCTCAGTCTCCGCCTATTCGGTTATCGCGCAATGCACCTCTAATAAAGCACTGAAAAGTCTCTATAGCTCAACTAATCAGTTTTTTTTTCTAATTGAATCTGCTCTCGTTCATGTTCGCTCCGTTTTTCAGGTGCAATGCAAATCTATCGCTGATGAAGAACGTGGGACTCGTTAAGGATGGCTCCAGTTGTGGCCCAGGTCGACTATGTGTCGCTGGTTCCTGTGTGGAAATGTCTTCTGTAAGCCTTTCGGGACTTTTTAGTTGTCAGGGCGAATGTCGTTCAATTTTGTAATAACAGTTCTGTAATAGTTCCCATTTATCGATCTTTTCAGGTATCCACAGCAATCACTTGCCCCTCCAACAATCATGCGTTACAGTGTTCGGGTCACGGAGACTGCACCACGACCGCTGTGAGTTGAAAATCAATTCTATTCAATTTTATAAATTTTTTTTGCTTACTGCCTAGAATTCCAAAAGTTTCGGAACGCCTCACCCCCGACTCTTCAATATTCAGGCAGCATTCTAGCCGAAAATATCTTCCGAAGATGAATTTGACCCAAACTTTGTCCTCTAGAGCGAATCTTCAACAAATTCGATGATCTCGTGTGTTTGGCGCTAACGCGTGTGACGCGGGCGCACCCCTGGAGGCGAGATATCTCCCTAAATTTACCCGTAACCCAGCGTTCTCCCCTGGCGTAACTTAAACCCTCCTATGAGGGAATTATAATAGTAGTTATTTTAATTCTGTTTGGTAATAAAGGAAGTTTTTTTCAGATTTGTGTCTGCTTCGCTGGCTGGACGGGATTGGCATGTGATACGCGCTCGAACACTACTCTGGGAAAAAATCGTGGCCAACCGCGTACCATTGTGAATGTTCCATCAATAGCTGTAGGAAAAACTTTGGATACTGCCACTTTGCTCGGGATTCTTTTGATTGTAAGTGACTCAATAAGCGGTCCAAGCTCCATGAGTAAGTTTATACTTCGCGTCAGCGTTCTAAGTGACTAGAAAAATATAGGTACCGATTCTGACGCAAAGTATGAACGCTCTCTAAAAGCAGATTTGAGGGTTTACTCGATCTTATTCTAGGTTGGCGTTGTTCTTGCTGCTGCTCCTCGTCTGCCTACTCTTCTGCTATCGTCGCCGGTCAATAGTGGAGATTCCCACGCCTTCCGATGAAAAGCTTGATGACAGTATACCAGATCGAAC